AATACTATGCAGAGGATGAGATATTCTCCATATGTACTGTTATAAATGTGGACAGAATTCTCATGAGCAGAAGATCCGGATTCACTCAGTCCATGACCAAATAAAGATTCTTCATTTATTATTATTACTACTAATAATAATAATATAATTTATTTAAACCCTTAACCCTAAACTTTAAACCGTAATCCATAAAATTAACGTATCAATTGGATACTTTTCTCCAACCAAATAGGAGTCAATTGTCATTATAATATTCGCATAGAATATTCAATTGTATTAGTACAAAGTCTGAATTTCTACCAGATTACCTTGAATAGATATGAAATCTGAATCTACTTAATTCAATTGGGCTAAGATACATCTAGCTAGCAATCTCATTATTATATTAAATTAGTATATAGGAATAGAAACTATTATCTCACCAGTTTACTGTTCAGGACTCATCATATTTTCAAACTCTTTCCATTGTAATGAAACAATTATCATTAATTTGATTTTCAAAAATACTTTCTTCTCAAAGTTTATATGGTATTAGAACCAATTGTGGCTTTAAATTCGTCAAGTTTGACTGATCCCTCTTCGTCCTCTTTTACTGTCTCTCACTCACTGTCTTCACATTCTGCTACTCAATATTTCTAGTATCACTCACTTTCTTCCCATCAAGCTTAGCAGAGACAATTCTCTCTCTCGTGGAAAGCATAATTCTTTCCTATCTTTCTTTGAATTCATGAATTCAAAGGAATGGTAGAAGGTTCAATTCCCTTGCACAGCCTACAAATTAAGAAGATTTAGAACCAGAATAGACAGCTTGGATGAAGCATGCGTTTTCAACTAATGTCATTAAGAGGTTGTTTGGTTGTATTGGCATTTTTTTGTTTTGAAAAATGCCACCACATCAGCGCCACATAAGCATGGGTGCTCATTTAGATTGAAACAATTGTTTGATTTGGTGTTTGTCAATTAAATATCAAAAACATAAATGCTTGGTTTTTGATGTATTGAGCCTCTGGAGGAAACTTTAAATTCTCGCTTCCTCCAACGGCCCATCGTTTCTTGAAATGAAAAGCTCATATAGTGCTGACGTGGGGTCTTACGTGAAAGCATTAAGAAGTGGTCCAGTATGTCCTGGATCATAATGCACTGCTTTTATATCTTTTTCTACTAATTGTTATATTCTCAAATAAAGCATACATTTTATTATTTTCTATTTTAATGTACCTCGTATGTCAAGTAAGAAGAATTCCCCTTTGTATGGGCTTTTATATCTGGCTTAATTTGTTCCAAATTTTATAGGATAGATGTGATCTTCAAATGATATGAGCCTTAAGATTTAAATTGTATGCAAGATTAACCACTGGATCTCAATTTCAGCCCTCAAAAACATGTATGGCATTCTGGACCATTAGATCAACTTGATGGTGTTCTGATATAAAGCAAGACTGTCACATTGGATTGTTTATGGTGTTGTTTCTTGAAACACCCCACCAAACAGCCAAAAATAGGAAAAAAAAAAACATTTATTGTGCTATTGTGCTTAGGTGGCAGATGCTTTATGGGGTGTTATTGGAAACGCCCCACCAAACAAGCAAAACCAATAAACGTTTAAAGTGGCATTTTCCAGATAAAGTGTTTATTTTATCTGAAAAACGCCCATCAGTAAATGCCAATAGAACCAAATACATTAAGGATTTCCTATTCTATCAGAGATTATGTTTAACAAATTAAGAGTATTGCTGATCAACTACAAGCAGCTTCTAAACCTATTTATCACATAGATCTTCTTCAAAGTGTTTTAAATGGTTTAGGTGCAAACTACAATTTCTTCATCACATTTGTTACCACCAAGTCTGACTTTGTCTTCCTCAATCTCCATAACTTGCATGGCGTGTTAAGAAATCATGAGATTTTAAGGAACTAGCGCTCTTCATCTTCAATATCCCTTCCGGTTTCAGCATCGAATGCCAATAATAGGGGTGAAAGTGGGGTGGAAAATTTGGGCTTAAGGTCCGAGCCCAAGGTTAAGCCTGACCTTTCCAACCAGAGCACAAACCATACTATAATTTGATGGATTCAGGTTGGGTTCGGACCCAGGTTGGATTTGGGTTGGGCAATAAATCCACTCTAAAATTATATATGTATGTATACATTTATACAAATATGTATACATATATGTATATATGTAAATATGTATAAAAATTTATATACATACAAATATATATAAATAGGATCGAGCTCAGGATATCTAAGGACTAAACTCTGGCCCAGCCTGAAAAATAAAAATCCCGGCTTCTTGAACCCAACCTAGCCTGAGGACCAAAAATCCAATCCCAACCCGTGTGAAATTTTGAATTGAGTTGGTTCGGGCTCGAGCTGGACCCACCCAAATTGCACCCCTAGCCAATAATGTAGCCAAATGCCAACAGCAACCTAATTACCCTCAACAAAATATCTCTCCCTCTTGATCGTCTTTTTCATCTCACCAATGTCCTTCATATCCCTCAAATTGCTTCTATGCAAAGTCATCCCACTAAATTCCATCCTTATATTTTGGTGAAGGATCATCAAAGAGCCTCTTTATACAAAGACTCGTCAAGATGGTAATTGTCAACTTTCCTGAATTAGGCTCCGTTTGATTCGCATAAATAGGGGTTTGGAATTGGAATTGAAATGGGGATTTCAATTCTAACTGTTTGGTTGAGCGAAATCAGAATTCTATTCTCATTTCGATTGGAATGGCATTCCCCCATTTGAGGGAATGACCATTTCCTGCCTCTCTTTTGGGAATGAAATCCCATTCCTGCTGATTTCAATTTTCATTTCCATTCTCATTCCTATCTGAACCACACAGACTATGAGAATAGACCATTCCAATTCCGATTCTGGAGGAATTTTGATTCCAATTTCGATTCCGATTCCAACTGCAAACCAAACGGACCCTTAGTGGATCACTCTCCTCTCGTTTTCATTTTGTTTTTGTTGGTGAAAAGGATTCTCTTAATTCGTGGAATTCTCATTTAGAACATTCGTCTTGGAAGACGGTTCAGCAACTTGTTTCTACTTTTGTTTTTTCAGTTGATCATGATAATATCATCTATTCGTCATCATTGTTTGATGTCAAAGAGTCATAGATTACCTCTTTTTTCATATTCATTTTAGGTTTTTTTGTCCAATTAAATTTAGTGTTTGGGGTCCTTACCTAATCTTGGATTTAAATATTATATTTTATTTTTAGATGATTATAATCGTTATTTTTGGAATTTTCACATTGATCACACATGTAGGATGCTTTGCCAACATTCTTGCAATTTAAATTATATGTTCAAAATTTACTTCCACGAAAAATTAAAAAAAAAAAATAATCTGATTGGAATGATGAGTATAGATCTCTTGCTACTTGTTTTGTTAAGGTTGCGTTTGGTTTAAAGGAAAAAATAGGGAAAAGAAGAGAAACTTTTATAAACTTTGTATAAGTTTCCCTTCCTTTCCTTATCTTTTCCTTCAAACCAAACATAGCCTAAGTGTAATATTTTTGATCGTATCTCTGGTACTTATTCCCATGCTCAAAATGGTCACCTGACCATAAACATAGGCACACTATTGAAACATCTCATGCCACTTGTCTTGCTAAATATAAAATTTCTCTATCTTATCTCTGGTGCTTATTCTCTCATGCTCAAAACGATGCACCTAAACATAACCATAGGCACATCAATGAAACATCTCGCAACGCCATCTCAGGCCTCTCTCCCTCTTTCCTATTGGGATGTGCACTCCTGTTTCGAATGATGCTCGTCCTTTTCAACATCCTCCGGATTATTCTTTTTTTTTTAAGTTTTTGATTATGCCTGTTAGCAATGTTAGTGTCCTTACAACAAAAGTAAATTCAATTATTGTTTTTCTCTATATATTTGTCACAATGTTATCTTTGATAAGAACATTTTTCCTTATCAAACTCTTAGGGTCCGTTGACCAAGATAACGATGTTCTTTTACATTTATATGGGATCAAAATTTTATTTTCCATGGGGTCCATGAAAACTTACTTACCTACCTGGAGGGAAAGTTGCCAACACTTAGATGGTATAAAATTATCCCTATTAATAATGAATTTTTATGGTTAAAACAATTGTTGTCTTATTTACCCGGGTAAGTACATTTTACTCATGTTCTGTTATTTTTCAGGTCAATAACTTCCCAGGTAAATAACTTCCCAAAAAGCAAATAGGACTTTAGTTCCACCCAATTATACTCCCTCCTCTTCTTCCTTAGGCTTAGTTTGGAAGGAGTACAAATACAAATATGTAGTGTGCAAAACCTTGCATTTTGTATGTATTTGCATAATACATATTTGTATTTGTACTCCTTCCAAACTGAGCCTTAGGTACATTCATTTTGGATTGGACCTCCCTTGCCGTTTCCTTCCTCATCTCCCATTGATAAACAGCCATCTTAGGGCCCTCTGCCTTCTCATGACGGCCCTTCCCTCTTCTCCTTCACCTCAGATTCGGTCCTCTGGTTCCATAATGAGAGATGCACAACATATACCTCAACCAATTCAGTCTTATGCAATGACCTAGTTCACAGTAATGTGCACATGCTACCGGAATCCACTGCCACTTGCTTCACTTGCTCATGTTCATAACATGTCACAGGAACATTCTTATTTCCCCACAGGCTAACAAACAAATTGAATGGCGTCAATGTTCTATGTACAAAACCAGTTTGGATATACAACTGTAGTATCATGTGGGTAGGTGTGGAAAAAATTATTGTGGGTAGGAGATCATGGTCATTCAAGATTTTTCTCAACAGACGGGCGTTATATGATCATGATACATTCAATCCGGCTGTTAAACCACTACTATTGGAACAACTGATTTTAATTGTAAAGTCAATAAGATTGTATAAATTTCAAGAATAGCTAAATTGATGGTAACGCTTGGACTGTTTGGAAGTAAAATACAAAGAATATCTGGGAAAATGCTACCACCATTCAAAATCTTAGTCACCTTTCAACCAACTCTACCCCTTCCATTTAATAGACAGATGTGCCTCGTTTCCAATGTTCCGAAGGATCCACTTGTTTTTTCCAACTACATGTAATTGACAGAGCAAATACATTCAGTTTTGATGCAAGTAATTAATAATAAACACTTGTTCCAAGAGTTGCTTTAGGATCAAACGGCAGATTTCAGTTTCTCTTATCAACCTCACCGATAGAATACAAAGCTCTAAATCTCTAATCTCATTTAAACTATTCACTTCAACTGGAAAATATTAAGAAAAATCTAGCCTCCAGGAATACATTTGTAACATAGGCTTCTAGCGTGTTGCAGCTTGGTAGCTTGTATTGATGAAATTTCTGATATCCCATGCTTGCGGTGTGTTCCCATTCTTGCAGTTAAAGTCTCAAACATTTCCGGTAAACTTTTCTGACAATCTGACTCGAGCCAAATGGTATCTATATTTTTGGTGGGCTCATATATGATTATATGATAGAATGATGGTACACCACGACGAAGGTTACCCCACATTTATCTTCGGGCAACTGAAGTAAGGGCACCTCTTGTAGGATCATATGATCCTCCCCAACCACCACTTCCAACACCGCTAGCAACAGTACCTGCCGCTGCAACAGGCACTTCATTAGCACCAGTAGCAACACTACCACTACCAGCAACAGCAGGAGGTGGTGTTGCAGAGGCAGTGCCAGTTGCACCACCACCAGATGCAGCAGCAGCATTGGCGTTCCTGTATAGATTGATCCCCTCTCCTGCTACTACTCCATCCATCTGAACTTGTGGCCTTCCATAACCATCTATGTAGATACCGCCACCTTGAACAGAAGGTGGTGGGTATGAAGGATCTGCGGTTCCATAATATCCCCCATAAGGGTTTGGTGCTACATACAACATACCACTAGTATTAAGAAAAGCAAGAAAATAAAATGAATTCATGTAAAACATTCCATCAGAATAACAACAAAGGAAAATTACCGCGTGCTCTATTCTCTGCACTTAACACCTCAGCACGTAGTTTCTCCACTTCTCTTGCCATGGATACCAGGTTCCTGTCCATTGCTTGCATTTGCTCCACTTGCTCCATGTTCAAACCCTTTTCATACTCAAACGCAGCGCTTTTTTTCCCAACCAAAAAAAAGACAGAAGACACAAAAAAAACCTTTAGAACCACAGTTTACTAGCTGATCAGGAACTACATTTTGTAGGCTTTGCAGGAGCCAAACTGATCCTGAATCCTTGGGATGTGCATATTCTGTTGTTCAGCCTTTCCCAAAGGTCAAGAAAATCAGTCTTGGAACTCAAAATTGGGATTTACACTTACAATACCATTTCCAACTTTCAAGATTAATTAGTCATGAGAAAAAAAAAAAACAAAAACCATAACAAAATTCCTTACCGCAGCCTCTGATGTTCTTGTCTCAAGCTGTCAAGCTTTTCATGCATTTCAGGTAATTTTTTAACCTCAGCATGGGTTTTCTGCAATTCTTGAGTTGTTTGCTGAATTTGGGCGCTAAGCTCTTGTCTGGCTGTTATTAGGCTCTGTGCCTCCATATGTGCCTGTTGCAGATCTTTCTTAATACTCTCACCAACTCGAACCTCTGCCTCCATTTTAGCTATCTTCTCTAACAAAACTCTAATCTGAATATCACTTTCTGTTTTAAGACTTCCTATGTGTGCCTGCAGCCTCTGCATTTCCTGTTGTGTAGCAACAAGCTCCTGTCTCAGGGTGACATGAGTGTCTGCTAGTCTATGATTTTCCCTTGCAAGTCGCTCCATTTCTGCAGCCTGGACAGCTAACTTGTTCTCTAGAAGCTCAGGAGGAAGTGGCTCAAGAACACGCTGACCAGCAGGAGGGCCCAGTCCAGGAAATGGACCATGGCGCATCATCCCTGGGGCTTGGATAGGACGCCCCTCAAAAGGTATATGTCCTCTTGCAGCCATGTGTCAGGATTTCAGAATATGGAGAACATGAACACTAACTCACATAAACGAAGCCCAGTGGAAACAGACCTGTTCTGAAGGAATTGTTTGTTTAAGACAGCAAATGAGTCAACTAAGAAAAATAAAAATGAATAACAGGCAATTCTTAAAATGTTTCAAATGCTAATCAAAAATAAATAATTAAAAGAATAAAATGTTTCAAATGGATATTTGCCATATCCCAGCATCTAAAACAAAAACAACTACTGATGTTTCTGCATACCCAAAGATAGCTTTTACTTTTCAAAAAATGAACTCTTAAGAAGGAATTTAAATACCCAATGGATATTAGATGTAGTCGCTTGAGAAATAAATGTAACTCCTTAATAAGAAATGATGCATATTTTCTGGATCTCTTGCTTATCTAAAAACATAAGTCACTATTCTTAAGCAATCCTACCCTAGTTCTTGCTTGTTGCAGTGACTGCCTGCTTTGCTTTCCCATTACTGCTCCATGTTACGATTCCATAGTCACTTGAGACATTTTTTAATGTAGAAGTTATATATGGCCCATGAAATCAATCATCTACACATGTCTATATTTCAATCTTGAGTGCAAAGTAACGAACAATTATTCACCATAGTCTCCTTTATCCCAAAATAAGATGGAAAAAAGCAAGGTTGTCTCATGAATAACAATATGTAAACTTTATCATCCATGAACCATGAATAAGAGGTCCACACAAGTTTTGAGGTAATGAACTTCCCAACGAAACTACTGCTTTTTGGTAATGGATATCACATATTATTACTGAACATAGACAGATCTCTAGTGCAATAAAAAGACTGCATTAATATTGTCTGTACAAGAAAGGGATTTTATATTTAATTCGGTATTCTAAAAGTGCAAGCACCTTCATTCATCAAAAAAAAAAAAAGTGCAAGCACCTTACTTATCAAATAAAAAAAGTGCAAGGGCCTTATAGAACCTGAGGTGCAAGGCACAAGGTGAGATGCATACCTTTTTGAAAAATTAAAAAAATAAAAAAAAATCAGAATGCATTGAAAAATGCAAACCTGAAATTTAAAAGGAATTAAATGTTTTGAAATGCCTACTTGTTAGACAGTTTTGTATGCCCTTAGCTTCAATCAGAATGATGTACTTTTTGAGTTTATTGTAAATGAATAAAAGTGCATATTTGATTCATGTTCCCTTGGTATGTTT